TATTTATGGAAGCGCACAGAAAGAGAGAGACGAATAACTTATCAGCCAAGATATATAAATATATATATATATATATTTATTTACAAGTCGAATTATTTTTAAAGAAGAATTTGCATATGGATTAATGAAATAGGGCAGCTAATCAGTTATGTTGATATATTAAATGTTAGAAAATTGCTGATATTGAAGGTTGACTTGGTGCTTTTCAGGTGTAGTTATCGTTTATTGCATTATATATACACAAATTTAGATTAAAGTCAAGACTAATTTTATAATTAGTATTTAATCTTGTAAAATCAAGACTTATTATAAACATATCTAACGTGTTAAAAATCAGATTTGGTTAGAAGTAACTATTAATTTATTATTGAATATTGGAATACACACATTTGATTCCTAGAAAATTCAACCAGACTATACTTATTATTAAATTATGGATAAACTACAAAAACATGACCCCAAAAAAAAAAAAAAAAATTATGAGATTCAGTATAATCTATACTTACATGATTGCATTTTGAAAATGAGAAATTATATTTTTGGTACTAAACAAAATAACATTTTTGTATTTACATGATTGCATCTGTGTTCAGAGCAAAACGAAATTATATATATATATATATATATATATATATATATATATTAGTTAATTTTTTATTTAATTAGAATTTGCTTTTGCATTGTAAGAATTGTAGGTAAGATTATAAAATAATATGTATATTGAAGATTAAACACACACTATATTTTTTCTTGATCAACGACCGAGACCAAGTAATAGTAACATATAATATATGATATTATTATTTATTGTTTCTCACCATCCTTAATAAAGTCTTCATGCTCTATCCATTTTTCTTACAATAATGAGACATCCATGGAGGAATATACATATATGTGTCTGTGTATATATATATATATATATATATATTACAAGTAATTGAATTAGTTTAGAGAAGCGTTTTGCGTATGGATTAATTAAATAGGGGGTGACTTAGTCATGTTTGATCTGGTCCTCAAGGTAATCTATATATTAAATGTTTGGATAAAGCTTGTTTCCAAATTCACAATTAGTAGTATCTCCTAAAAGTTTTCTCAAATCACTCCTCGTTTCAAGAAAATAATGGAATGAAGGAAAAAAAAAAATTTAAGAACCTGAAAATCTAAAAACAGATTTGAAAACCCATCAAGTCTGCCTTTCCAATTAATTTAAAAAACCCAACATATCTGCATTTCAAATGAGAAGTTTTTAAATTTCAAAAAAAAAAAAAAAAAGCAAATCTGAGAGAAGCTTTTTATTTTTAACTAGATTCACTAAGTCAACAATGGAAAAGTTCTATACCATTAATATGTAGATGAATAAACTGTTGAAGAAAAGAAAATTAATATAAACTGTAACACCCAATTATTTTTATTTTATTTTATTTTTATTAATTCTATATAAATATAAATATAAATATATATTTTAATTTTTTTTATTAAAAATAATAATAATAATAATAAAAAGGAGTAAAAAATTATTTAGGGATTTAATTGAAAATAATTTTGGAGAAAATCGGTGAAAATTTCGGTTCTGGAGATATTTTTAAAAGAAAAATCAGAAAACGGAAGTTAAAACGCAATTTAGAAAAGTTGTGTTACGTCGGCTGCCCGGTAAGCAGCCCCAACCAACAAGAACGCGCCAGGTGGCAGAGACGCTGATGCAGGAGGTCACGCGAGAGGGAGCCACGTGGGCAATCCACGTGCGCGTGATCGAACGGCTGAGATCCATTCCCCCGCGCATGGACTGCCCAGATTGCATCGCGCACGGACGGTTCAGATTGAATCGTGCACGGACGGCCCAGATTGAATCGCGATGAACGGTTCAGATTCACTCCCTATTTAATCGCGATCGGACGGTTCAGATTAAAAGCGATGGACGGCTCAGATCAAAAGCGGATAGGTATAAATAACCACATCCGCAACCAAACCCTAACCCTAGCCGTCAGAGCCCTTCACCGGAGAAGACAGCGCAGCTGCCGAAGAGCCGACCGCCGCCACTCGCCGCCACACCGGAGCAATTTTCGACTACCAAACGATGTAAAAATTCTACCCTTTGCTCAAAATTTGATTCCAAACTCACCTATGGTCAAATCGGAGCGAAAACACTGGCCAATTAGCCGAAAAACGTCACCGAAGCTCAGCGATGCCGCAGCGGGGTGTTTCGATTTTTACCTCCGATGAGGCCCTTCCCGATTCCCGTTCGATGAGATTTTTTCACCGTTGTGATCATCGTTTCCTCTTCTACAGGTTGACCGGAGCAAAACACCCAACCGCAACGTGAGCTGGAGGAACCGCCGCACCAGAGAGCATCACCGCCGATGAGTTTTAGTTTTCTATGTTTTTTTGGCCCACCGATGGCCCTAAATATGTTTTCTCACAAGAACCGATGCAAGTTTGGCTGAATTTAGCTGAAAACAAACAATCTGAGGTGGATCACCTCTGCGAGCGGCGGTAGCGTCGCCGGAGCACGGCGGAGCCGCCTTGCCGGAATTCTAAAATTGGCCGAGTAGATCTCGAGTTTGATTTTTGGGTTATTTGGGACATGTGTAGGTACTGTAAGTACGTTTCAGTTTCTGAGAAAAAATTCAGGAAACCCTAGGACCGCCCGTAGGCGCATTAACAATCTAGTTTTCGGCATCGAATCAAGTAAGAACCCCTCACCCTATTTTTTATCATGGAATTAAAGTCCGAATAAATAGTAATACTGTAGTTTGTGCAAATTAATAGATATACATAATTAATTAAGGTTGTTAATGGAGTCCAAAATCGGACATTATTCTCTGTCGATTCCCGCTTGATTTATTTTATAGTTTAAATATATTATGATATCTGGTCTGTCTATTCTATAGTTTTAAATGCATGCGTTATTATCTTATTTGACCATTGTGTGATTTTAGAATTTAAGATATAATTGTATTATTTGGTGCATATTTATTGTTTATGTGATTATGTTCAACTTGGTAACGAAAACTAAGGGAAAACAGATAAGGTGACAGTCTCACTAGATATCCTGAATAATGGTGAACGGACCAGGTTCATAGGGAACCCTACTGTGAACGTCGTCTCATACTGGACGAAGTATGGAGACTTTATCATTTGGTGCTTATACCGGACGAGGTATGGGGAAGGCCCGCTTCATCCTCATATCGAACGGGGTATTTAGGTTTAATGTCTTAACGCTCATACCGGACGGGGTTTGGAGACGACCTTGGAATTAAAACTGTTAAGAAGAATGATTCACGTGTAGTGGGGACACCTCTCTGCATTCCCATGGATATTAGTGGGCTGGTGAAAACGAGAAACGGTGATAATCAGTTATTGTTAATGAATATAAATTTATGATATATTTTATGTTACTGATTATGCATGAAATTGTGATTTGTATGATGTTATTGTCTTTATAGGTTGTTTTCACAAGTTCTCCAAATGTAAGATAAGTGGTAAGTGATTTTATTTTAAATAAATGTATTGGTTTAAAATTTGTGCTCCATTGGTTGTTTTTGGTTTTCTACCAACATTTGCTTCTGTGACGGTGATATAGTGTGATGTCCTTATTGTACTAGTGTAGCTCATTCCTTATTTAACCATTTCAGATCAGGAGGACCTGCTTCCCGAGCCCGATCCACAAGAATACGGCGAGTAGATACTAGATGCTTTATAGTTTCCTTTATTTTTCTCATTTCTCGTATTTTTTTTAGA